CCTGCAGCTGTTACCTGCCATGAGGAATGGAGTTTTGTCATACCTCGGTTCTGTAGTCGCTTCGCTTAGACTCTCTGTGTAATTAAAATGGAGCAGGGCCAGATCCCACTTTCTTTGACCTAATGGGCCGTCTGGCCAGTTGGGGCACTGGAGTTTTATGAAAGTTCATACAAATGAGTAGAAAGGGACAGCTGTCTTCTGTTCTGTGATAAAAGTGCATTTGTGGCCTCCAGCTGCAAACTACAGAACCTGCTGTCTGTCCCTTTTTAGGGTGGTCGGGTCTGGGAAGCTGATTCATCCAAACAGAAGGGCCAGCATGAAATTTAGATTAAAAAACCTACGTACTCTACTCTAGAAGAGCCCTGGGCTGCAGCAGAGGTGTGGGCAGGCATTTAGCACTGGGGAGTGGACTGTGTAGGGAGCCCCAGGGGAAAATCGATAAGCATATGATCTCCACTGTATGCCAAAAAAAAAAAAAAGTCACTCTTCAGAACTCGGGACTAAAGGCTGGAGCGAAGACAGCTTAGTCTTGGAACTGAAAACCTAGCCCTCGTTACCTGACCACTCCCTGTTTGATCAGCAGTTGTCACAACCCCCAGTGCTGCTGCTCTAGATGAAAGAAAAAGCTCTTCATGTGGGTCTCCACTGGCAGGTTTATCCACCGAACCGTTCCATTTTTAACCCTGTATATATGAAAGCAAATAGCTCGAAGCAGTCTGCCGTAGAATGTCTGTGGTGCTCGTGACTCCAATTCCCTTATTCCACTCTTCTAGATCCCTCGTCCGCTAGCTTCCACTCCCTCCGCTGCCAGCATTCCCGCTGTAACTCCAGAGACTGTGTCACAGGAGGAACTTATGGTTACTCTGGTAACGGGTTTAGCTTCACTGACATCACGGACCTCTATGAGCATCATCATTGTTGGAGGAGTGGCAAGTAGAATTAGCAACATTCACTGTAATAAAAACCATGGCAGAGATTAATCTGTGCCAGATACTCTGTCTATTGTTTTGGATGTCACCTTTGATGCAGCATATTCATCTGGGCAGTAGTAGTCTTTTAACAGTGGGCTGATATATGTCAGCATAGCTCCATTTTGCTCTGGGGACTTTCAGTACTTTTGTCCAATGAAATTAAATAGCTACCAAATAGACTTCAGAGTATATCAATTGGGACTTTTTTTTTTCCTGAAATCACCTTCGTTAAAGGACACCTACATCCACTTTACTTATCCTAGTGGTGGTGTAAAAGTTTTTCATTTATGGCTTAATTTTATTGAAAGATAAAAAGATCAATTCATTTTCAGTAACATTAAAGGCTTCTCTTCCTATTTATATTAAAACATATTAGGCACTAGGTTTTCAGACCCCCTTCCACAGTGGGAAGGGGGCTCTGACAGTTTGGTTCACAAATGGTGATGGTTGTCCAGCATTAGGTTGAAAAACGCCAAACTGTCATCCTGCCTGATACAACCGGACTGAGCAAAACTGATGTGAATTTCCTTTAATGTAATTGGTAAGCCCATTGCAATGTGGAAATTAATCTTTAGCATGCATAAGAATCCGTTTGGTCAGGGTTTCCTTGGCGACTTGAAAATAGTTCATTATCGATATTTTACATTAAGCAATTAGCCTGTTTTTCAGGGTCTGTTTGATTATTCAGGCTTGTTGGCATTAGATAACTGGCTGTGATTATACAAAGGCTTAAGGAAAATGTCAAGATGCTGTTTCTAACCGGTATGACTGTCCAGTGTGGTACTAATCCTTACTCACCTGAGTGGCAACAGAACCACACTGCGGACTAACTGGAGCATCCAAGATGCACATATCTTTGTCAGATGCACTAAGGTGTTTCCTGGTTGAATAGCCCTGTGCTGTGGGGTATACCAGGAAGATGCACTGAGTGCAAGCAGTGAGCTTCTAGTAAGAAAAATGGCTCTGTGTGTTATGTTGGGTTCTGTAGTCTATATAAAAATGCTCAGTTTCTCAGTGAATATGTGGCCCGACATCATTATCAAGCTCAATTCAGAGTTGATGAGAGCTTTGCATTCTGCCCCTTGCCTCCTAATGAGCAATAAAGTGGCTGCAGACTGAAGGTAGCTAATGTGCTTGCTGCTCAGGCAGGAGGCAGAAGAGGCTCCGGCTCGTTTCTGTGTAGCTGAAGAGTCTGCTTCGCTGCCAGCTGGAGGAGAGATGTGTTTTTTTTTTTAACCTGATCTGACTGGAAAGAACAAAGGGAGCAACACAATGGGGACATTTATCTGCAGCCTTTTGATTATGACCAAATAGCTCTGACAAGCCACTTTCCATAGAGCTGCTCTTGCATTTCTTCCTCAAGTCAAAGAAAAATGCTTTTTATTCTCCCCTCCAGGTCTGGAGAACTGTAGGCTGGAAACTCATCACCCTTTCCATGAGCCTGTACGGATTATTGTATGTCTATGAGAGGCTGACCTGGACCACGAAAGCGAGAGAGAGAGCCTTTAAACAGCAGTTCGTAAACTACGCGACTGAAAAATTGCAGCAGATCATCACTTTTACTAGTGCAAATTGCAGCCACCAAGTGCAACAGTAAGTATCAGTGACCATGGCACCTGCACTGGGGGAGTTGCAAAATGGAGTTGACCAGACACCAGCAGTGTGCAGATCAGGGGTTTTTTGGTTTAAAAAAAAAAAAAAGGTGAGCTGCTGCAGAATTCCCCTCATGCCTTTATGGCAGTAGTCGTAACTTTTTGATTCCCTGTTATGGTGTAACAGTCTCGCGCGCCCTGGAGGAGTGACTGTGCATGGAGTGGAGGTTGATGGCTTCTGGCTAGGCGAGTCAGTGGGATTATGCCAGGCACAAATAGTGTGTATTCAGGCCTTTCTCCTTGCACTCTAGAGCCTGGGCCGGCCTCTAACTTGAGGCTGAGGATTCTAGTGATGCCTCCGTTCTGCACTGCAGAATTTGAGTCCCTTTGTGGATTTAGTCTTAGGTTACTGATAAAAAGCTTCACCCCACCAAAATGCCAGTGCCGGCATTGAGAGGTGGGTAGAAGCAATCCTAGTGTCCGTGTCCTATTGGTATGCTGCGACCCTTAAAACCACCACTGCACAAGTGTCCTTATCTATTGGTTTTTAAATGAGGCCTGCTTTCTCATTCCCCAGCATGCTGCCTTTCCCAGTGCGAGTCTACCTCGGTGGCTGTTCTGAGCGCCAGGTTGTCTGTTTGCATGGACTCTGGTGCGCAGCATAATAATGTGTTGTGATGCAAAGCCATTACAAACTTGTTTGTCTTTAGGGAAATGGCCACGACGTTTGCTCGGCTGTGTCAGCAAGTTGACATTACAGAGAAAAACCTGGAGGAAGAAATCGCCAGACTATCCAAAGAAATAAACCAGTTAGAGAAAATCCAGAGTCACTCAAAGCAGCTGAGGTAACAATGCTTGTTTGTAATGACTGCCGGCCACGTCAGAAGTAAAGTCCTGCCCCCTTCGCTTCAGAGGACCCGGATTTCTTATCCTGTGTCCTTATTAAGTGATGTCACAAATTGGAGGCATTTGTTGCATTGGCCTTTGATAGACAGAAGTACAGGTAATCCCAACGAGCCCACAGAAGTGGAGGTGTAAGTGAATGGGCAGTTCTGTGCGCTTTGCATTTTTGAGCCTTGTTTGTTGGTGCCATTTTTACAGCCATGTTTAAAAGCTGCATGTTTCAGGGAGGCCTGAAAGGATCAGAAAAGCACTGTCCCCTCCCGAGACCAACCGGCTCGCTCTGCTGGGGCCAGGCAGGGGTGTTTCTCACGAATGCGCTTTAATATTGCTTTTCAGCCTCTGTGGCTGTGCGTTTTCTCCAGGGGCATCTGCCTGAGGAGCTGTTGTGTCCTCGGAAGGGGAATGGTTGTAGCTACCACCGGGCAGAGGTGGGAATTCAGCTCCTTTATCGTCTCTTATCTTCTGCCAGCCCCCATATGCCTCCTTTCTCTTTAAGAGCCCTTCCCACTAGGCAGAGATGCATGCTGCAGGCTCTCTTGCTAGCAGCTGTGTGGGTTTGTGCTCGTTTCCCCACTCATACTGCCTGTGGGCTTGGGTTCTTGCTACGCTCGGGTCACCTAATCTTGAAGATGAATGGGAGCATTTTTGGCAGGCCCGGAGCTGTGTGCACAAGGCCTGCTGCTTGGCTTGATGGCTCCATTCCAGTGTCACATGCCTGGAGGGCTGCATTGGCTCCATTCCCACATGCCAGGGGCCTGTTGGTGGGGGTGGGGGGTGGCAGAGCCTTGTGGAAGGGCTGGGTGCTGGGAGGAGTTGGCCCAGTCCTGCAGCACAGCAGCCCTCCCTCGTTCCAGGGCTGCCGAAAACATTGGCACAAGAAAGCCACGCCAGAGGAGGAAGGAAAGTAAGAGCGGGTTTAAGCTTAGAGCACAGAGGCCCTGGCAAGGGCTGGAGCTTGCAGGGAGGGGCTCATGTGGGACATGCAGGGGCACAGGGAGCCCTGCTGGAAGGATGCAGGTGTCTCCAGCGAGCTCCACTTATGGGAGCCCCCAGGGACTAGTCTGCACTGCTTGGAGCCTCACCGAGCCCCTTCCAGCCCCCCCAGAGGAAGTCATAGGAATAGTCTCCAGCACTTCTGTGCTAGGGCTGTGAACATTGCTAAGAAGCGGCCCCCATCCTGTGCTCCCAGAATCTCAGCAGTGAAGGTGCACAGGCACCCCGGGCCCTGCATGCTGCTGCTGGCTTCAAGCGGGAACAGTGTTGTGGTCCTGAGTGCCCGACACTAATGCTGCGCCAGCAGGTCTCACTGACTGGTGTTCAGCATGCTGCCAGCAGTGGGGAAGGGGAGTGGTGGAGCCATCAGGGCTGAGAAGAAAGTAGGATCTTCCCAAGGACTTGGCCTCCAGGCAGCAAGGAAGCTGCTCCTTTCTAGCCCAGCACTCCCCGCTCCCTCCTAGAACTCACAGGACCTAACCTGGCGCTGCTTGGCTGAAGTCCTGAAGGGTCAAGAAGGGAGGGACAGCCCTGGCTGAGTGGAGGGGTTAGGATGGGGCTGGGCAGCATTTTGAAGCTGGGCTTTGCTTTGGACCTCAGCTCTGAGCACGGGCTGCTTCCAATTTGGCCCTCACTGCCACAACCATAACTAGAGCTGCATCTGCAGTAATTGCCCCCAGCTCTGCTGACCTGGCTTTAGGGCCTGGTGCCTGGCATTTCAGTTCTGAAAACGTGAAGACACTGCAAGCCCGTCCCAGTGCGTCTCGTGGAGCCCAGTGGACGTGGGCAGGGGTTCTCGACTGCCACAACCTCAGTCACTCTTCCTCTTCTGCCCATTTTGCAGAAACAAAGCCCTTCACCTGGACAACGAGCTGGAGCTTTTCACCAAGCAGTTTCTTCGGCAGAGCAAATAGAGCGCGGTCCAGGAAACCGTGGGACGCAGCTGACGCAGTGCACTGACAGGATTCTCCCTAGGGAGGCCATGAATTGACTTCTATTTATTAAGTTACTTTGATTATCCCTGTCATAATACTGTAAGGACCAGGTGTGGGCTTCAGCTGTGACCTGTTTAGAGCCCCTGGGGCACCGAGAGGGTTGTGGCCACTTGATTAATTGGCAGATTTTGATAAATGATTTATATTTAGTGACAAATAATTTATTCTTCGGATGCTCAACAATAAAAGAAACCTTCCACTCTGGATGGTGCCTGCCCAGGGCAAACCCACTTCCTGGCATCCAGGAGGAAGGCGCCCGTCCCTTCTCTCTCCTTTGGGCTAGCAACAGCCACACTCACATGCCTCCTTCTAAGGAAAAGGTGAACTTAGCAGGAGGGACGGGCTCCTTCAGCTGCTGAGCTAGGGCAGAACGGATGTGTTTGGGGCTGCAGCTCACCCCCCACCCCGTTGTGTGACTTGTTCCATGGAACCAAACTCAATAGCTCCCCTTCTTGGTCCTGGACACTGGCCTGAGGGAAAGATGTGATTTGTTACTTGGAGGAGCAGTGTTTCCAGTAAGCTGGGTGCCCTCGGGCTGGCAAAGCTGAACCAGTGCCCCCTAGGCCTGCCCGAATGGCAGAACAGCACTGCTGTAATAGCCATGTGAACCTGCACTTAGTGAGCGCAAATTTCAGGTGAATCTCACATGTGTGATCAAAGGTGAAAGCAAAGCTCTACGCGTGGGCTGCCTTGCCAAGTGGGTTTAGGAATGGTTTGAAGTTAAGCAGCCCAAGTGGCTTGCAATTTTGAGTTAGGCTCCTGCTGGTGGTTTGCTGGCCTCTGAACCAGCAACAGCGGAGACTGGAAAGATCTTTCGTGACATGAGGAGTTGTGGGTTCGGCTGCAGCGCAGCTTTGTAGCTCTCCAGGTTCTGTCCGGGATTAATGGGTACAAGATGTGAAGATCAAGGGAAAGGCATTAGGGAAACTATGTAGCTGTGCCCGACTGCTTTGTCTGTACTGGAAAAATACCGGCTGCAGTGGGAAAACCAGCCTAGCACTGTCAGACTGTCATCATTGGGGTGCTTGTTTATTTCAGACCTGGGTCTTTGGAAACCCGTGGCCACTGCACCCTCTCTGTTCTGGGTTTAAACACTTGAGCACATGGCTATTTTACTCTTGCTAGCCTGGCAAAAGCAACCCTCTTCCCCCCTACTTGTCCCCCAACTAATAGATAGTGGCAGTGAGTGTCAGGTGCTGCCTGCTGCATCTTCAAACCGGATAACCTGTATTTTGTAAACAGGCTTTTTAATAACTTAGTTTAGGGGGTGGGGATATTTATATATTTTTATGAAAGTATTACATTTTAATTGAACAAATTCAGGTTTAAAACCAAAATGAAATTAAATGAAAAGTTGCTATGGCTTTAGCCAGTTCAGATTTTTTCCCCCAGTTGTTGCAGTGGTACTTGGTGTCAGCAATCCTAACCTTCAAACAAAGGGCTGATGAAATGTATTTTGGGGGTTTTTTTGATAGCGACACACTTCATTTTGAGGTCAGGAACCAACCACTCACTCCTGTCAATTTGTTAACTTCTGTGCTTCAGCATGGAGCTACATATTGCATTAGAAGTATTCCAGCGATATGATTTTATTCATCTTCATATAAGGAAAGATACCACTACACGCTGGTTACTTTGGAAACCTCTAACGTTCTGCATGTGGGATGGGACCGGTTAAAGGGCTGCTGTTCTGAGGCCAACTTCTTGTGAAAGCAGGATGCCAACCCACCCCAGGAGTGGTACAGAAGCGATGCAAGTGTACTTACGTTGCAGGTTGGTTTTTCAAATCATTTAGAGACGCTGTAGCACACTTTGTACACGCACGTGACTTACAGCTACTTGCATAGTCAGTGAGAAAGCAACGCACCAAGGGGGCAGCCTTTAGCAGATGGCAGCTGTTGTAGCTTCCATCCTCCATACAGCGATCTTGTGTTTGAAAGGTCGTCAATGCACTACAGCATTTGTTTTAAAATCAAAACCAGTGGCTGCTACGGGGGTGGTATGTTTGGGGCTGATTTGCAGCCTGGCTGCAGTCCAAGAATTAGGCAAAGGTTTTCTTAGGGAGCCTGTGGCTCACAGTCAGGTTTCAGCAGGGGAAAGTCAAAGCACGAGACCCTAGGACTCAGGATTGCTCCACGTGTGGAAACTGGAACTGACTGTGCATGTGACAATCAGTATTGCTGTCCCCAGGTGCTTCACCCAGCTTGAGGGTGAGAGAAGGTTGGAGCCCTGTAAATAAGGAATAAAATTCAGAAATATTTTTATGGCAGAGTGGATGTGGTTCTTTAAGAGGTCCTCTTTCTTACATCTGCAATAAAGAAAAGCGCAGCTGGTTTCTAGTCATTTGAGCGTGTGTGTGTGTGTTGGCATCTGGCACTGTAGTATTAGTTGTCCCCAGGTTTTCTGAAAGGTGAGTTAGCTCTTCCCCTACTGCTGCAACAGGCTATTCCCTCCTTTGTGGCAGCAGCCTGCTGCCCCTCTCCCCAGGAATGCAAGTGCGGCGTCTCGATTTACACGCACGCAGCCGAGCAGTTGCTAAGTTACACAGCTGCAGTGCAGCATCAAGCTAACTTTCCCTTCCCCGGCTTGTCAGGGCACAAGCAGGTAGCAGATGCATGCCTTTCCTTCAAGCAAAAATAGCATTGCTTACAGCAGTGAAGAGGACTGGGAGACTTGCCTAAAGCTAGAGCCAGAAGTCCAACTCAGGCCATGTGTGGTGGCCTTCCAGGCTGCTCTCAGGGGCTTTCTTAACCACAGCTTGATGCTCAGCACGAGGTACTGGCTCTGCCAGTGAAGTTAGAAGGGGCAGAAAAACTATTACAGGTTTCTTCCCCCCCCCCTAATAAAGCTGAAGCATGAAGGAGCAGGCATCCAGAAGCACAAGGGAGGTTACTGGAAATCTCCCCTAGATTGGCCAGACAGCTACCCACTATGCACCACTCCCCCGACACTTCTGCTTTGAGAAGGGTCTCAAATAAGTGCACGCGCACACCAGGCCGTCTGGTTAAAAGCACTTGTTTATTGGTTACAATATCAACTCATGGCAACATCTTCCACTGAGCCACTGTACAAATACAAAGAAAAGATCCATTGTGGAAAAAAAGCTATAAACAGAGTTCATAGCGAGTGATTTTTTTCACAGGGAAGTCTTTATACAACAGCACTGTTAAAGAACAAATGGCACAAGTCCCTGGTTTTTTTTTTTTTAATTAGCTTAAATAAAAGCTTTAAGACTGTTTCTGAATACATACACAACCCAGAGGCAGTGCAGAATCACTTCATAATTGGTAACATGACTGAAGTTTTCCATCAAAGTAATCAGCAACAAGTGAAAGGAAAATAAAAACCTTTAGATGAGAAATGCTGGATTCGAGTTAAAGACAAACTAAAGAGTCAAGCATGTTTAGAAGCAGTTAGTTTTGGACTCCTTTGGATGTCATATGTAGTACAAGTGTTTAGATGCTATTTTTTTTTTAAAGGAGAAACACAAAGAGAGCACCATCGTGTAAGTAAAACAAAGGCTTGAAATACCTAAGACTATTCCACTGAATTCCATATTAGTCAAAACCTAAACATACTGTGTGGTATAAGAATGTCAGGCACATGTAATCTGTTATCAGTTATATCAATTAGTAACACTGTTCACACATTTACCATAACAACACTGCATTAACATTCTGCATGTATTTTACATAACCAGCAATTGGATAAAAAGGCTCGTGGTGCCTCTGAAGTGTAGGAAGTAGTTTGACCAGCATGCACGCCAGATTACTGTATACAAAGTGCACCATCAATCCCATGCTTAATTACTTTTACAGGAAATGCTATCTCAAAATCTGTCATTCTGCTACACAACCATTTATACCAACTATTTGAATGAACCATTACCTATTCTCACCAACATTTTAAAGCACAGCACTAAACCTAGTGGAGGTGACAGCGTCCTCGAAGAGGAAAGACTAAGCGCTCTTGGAATGTTTTCACGACTACCGTCTTGGATCCACCCTGAAGTGAAGTGAACCTCATCTGCGGGACAAGTGGTTACACCAGCTGAATTTGGAGCTGACCGCTTCCAACCTGTACGTTACAGGGAGCGCACAGGGACAAGCTGGTATGCAAACCCCGCGCTGCCAAGTCAGGGTCAACCCCTCCCCTCAAAGGAAAGCTGGTCCGACCTGCTTCTCTACTCCAAATGAGATACTGAACCAGACACTTGAGCATCTGCAGTTCAGGAAGGCAGATGGTAATGAGGTTACGGGAAGGGAAAAACAAAGGTCTGGAGACAGATGGAGGCAGGCGCACACATTACTCTAGGTGATCTACATGAACAAGATGCCATTGAGAAGCTTTTGGTGGTTTCCAGAATCTCAGTCCTGCTCTTACTCCTGCTAGAAGAAGTGACAGAGTCCTACTGTACCTGGGAACATGCCCAACTTGGAGGCTTGCTTGCTTCCTTCCTCCAGATCCTCCAAAAGAAAGCGAATCAACATGAAGACATGCTGCTCTACCTGAACTAACGCAGTCTGTAATTAGGAGAGGCACGTAGTTCCCAGCTCCAGCTCCAGCCAATTACATTTTCCCGAGGCCGTTTCATGTCAAATATGCTTAAAAGATGGATTCTGTGTTAGAACAGAGACTGGGGGAAAAGTTACGTTGGTACCAACCGCAAGTACTTGGTACAATGATCATAACTATTTTAGCGCCAAGCAGTAACAAGCCAAAGCCTAGTCTATTTTTGTAGCCACATTAAATTATCTGGAATTAGGACAGTTCTGTAACCTGGAGGTCAACTTTTTAGGGCAGTTTAATGCGTACCCCCTAGTGCTGTAAAACTCGCTACCTATATTACAGTTAGAAGCTACGCTAACCCGTACCCCTGAGCTTATATTAAGCACAGGCATATATCAGCACAGACTACCAATTCCCACAAGACATTTCCTTTGAAATGCAGGAGTTGGGGGAAAGCTTTCAAGTGAAACCTGCAAAGGGTGGCTTTAATGTCTTCACAGCAGAAGATGAGACCTGGTGCTCGTTTAACCCTTAAGCTGCATCCATCTGAGCAAGTGGGCCATCCTAAACGCTCACCCAGAGCCTGAATTTTCTGTAACAGCAAATTTAGGCCATTGTTTCGTCTCCGCTTAATGTGCACTAAGGGCTTTTTACAAATAAAAAAAACAACGGGGATTATACACCAGGAACTCGGGAGCAGCCATCACACTGGTGCGGTAAGCCAAAGCTTTGTGCCAGCTCCCAGCAGGAGTTAAATATTGTTTCCAGATAGATGCTCCCCTGCTGACGTGCCAGTCCAGAAACAAGCATGAGTGTGACACCAGGTGTGCAGCACAAGCACTGAGACGCTCTCTGTGTACGCTGAACGGCAAAAAGGGGGCAAGATTTGCAATACCCTTTGAAAGGGGCTTTGTAGTAAATTCTACTGCTGCCTCCTGTTATTTCAAAAGCTGCTGAAGCCACGAGAAGGGCTGCCAAACAGCTGGAGTGACATTCCTTGCAATAAGGGTGGCATAAAGCCCAGACCTTGGGTACCAGGTTGTTTGAAGGTTTAAACAGAACAAAGCTACCGCTTGAGGGGTTTTGAATGTTTTATAACTACTAAGATAATTTATATCAGATTGCAAACACAGCACACAGCTTTGCCACGGGATGTTGACTAGACAAATCACTTCTAGATACACCTTTATATGGGAAACTTTTTTTTTTATTATTATTATTATTTAAATATTTTTGAAGGACACTTTCCTGCCAAAGCTCACTAACGGATTCTCAGAGCGATTCACTCACGGGACCTGCAGATCTAAAAAAAATCAAGTGCGCCATTAAAAACTAAAGCAAGTGTTCTGCCTGATCTCAAAGAGCTGCTCTCTTGGACAAGACACGGATAGTTCTGTTAATGCAAACAACTCAGAAAACAAAATGCCAAGGAGCTCCTGCGATGTACAACAGAGCGGGATTTTGGTCCTACAGTTTGTCTACCTTTAGTAAAGCGTATACTTCTCCAGCACGAGATGTGCTTTTTTAACCGATACTGAATTTACTGCAGTTGGCACATGTATTGGCACCTTCACCATCGTAAACACGGCAAGTTTACAGGTACAGTCTGGAAGTACTGACGTTAGGATTACAAGTGGTAGAAACTTGACAAACAGTGGTCTCAGCAACAATCTGATTTTTATACTACAAAAACCTGGGCACTTATGTTCACAAACCGACCCCAGGACGTTCAGACTCTTCACAACTTCAGGTGGGGGCAGCAGGTTAACACTAGCCTTCCATTTGATAATCTGTTTGAATACGCGTTATTGAACATAAACACTGAAGAGAAGCCAATAGAAACAATCCCCCTTTTCCCAAGACCGCGTGTCCTTTCACGTCCTAATCTGATTTCCTACAGCACATCCATCACAAGCATGGTCGCACTGCCTGCACCAAAGCGTTAAGTGGTTTCCATGGGAGTTTCATGAGGGTATGAATGGGCGCAGCCCGAAGCAGTAAGGTCATTTTTACTAGCTCAAATATTCTCACTCAGGACATACGTTTCACATTATGAAGTAAACTGCATCTAAGTGTAGGTCAAGAATGTGAAAGGAAGTTGCTGTTATTGTGTCAGTCCGCAAAATCGGTGGCATCTAATAAGAAGCCTACGAAGGGGCCACTGCAGCTGTAAATGAGCTAGCAGGATTTTAAATTTTGAGCACAATTATTGACACGGATCACAGAAGTTACTGGTTCGTTGTAAATAACGTGGTTACATCATTTAGTCCTCACTACACGTATGCACAGCCAGCGTGTTCTGTGGTGGCATGGCAGGGCTACCCTCGAACCTTGCGGTTGTACAGTGCGCAGCGAACGCCTATGTGCCCCAAAGGCCCTTTTGGAAATTTCAGAGAAATCCTCCTGAATTCCTTCTGGGTCTGTTTGTAAATGAACAGCAGGTTTTGAGAATAGGCTTTCAAGTTCCTCCAATCTATGCGGTGAAATCCAGGCTGTGCAACCTCAGTAGTGCACGCTAGCTGGACTCTCCTGGGTCAGCGTCATGGTGTTTACAACTACACTGTCAAAAGGAAAAGCGCTTGGCCACTTACTAGAAGCAAAGCAGGTCACTTGGCTTATGTACTGAGTTCTACATGAAAGAACTTGCATGAGAAGCTGCGGAAAGGAAGCTCATACTCCTGGCACCGGGCTTTCAAATCCTTCTTTTAAATGTGCCTAGTGGAATTTAACTCGTTGGTGCGTGGAGGCCATGACTACTGATGGATGGACCAAGAACTACTGGCAAGGAGGACTAACCTCCATGCTCACTTTACATAGGCAAACAGGTCAAAGAG